TAGCTGCATTAACAGAGCCAGCAGCATGTGACGATGATGGACAACCTGAAGAAAAATGAAGATGAGTAAGTCTCTGAACAAAGAACCCATTACCAAAAAAACAAAAAATTGGCCAAGATTGAAACTTTGCCTTCATTTTTAGATTTAACTGTGTCCAAAAACCCTCTTTTAGGGGGTTTAGAGGCTTGAGGGAAATAACCCAGAGAGAGAGCTGAAGGCTCTTGAGCTTTCCTCTCATTTGTTGTTGATCCCCAATCCTCATCTCCTGGGGGCCCCAGTTTCAGCTCCAGCTTCTTCTCATCTTGAACACCAATCCCACCTCCAGAATCTCTCACCATCCAATCTCTCTCCTTTGATATCATGAAATCATGCAACTGGGGACAAGCTCCACCTCTCTTGCTAAACTCTTCACCCATTTTTTTTTTCCTTTTCAGACTGAAGAAATTTTCAAAGAAGCAAGTCAAAAAACAAAACACCAATCAAAATCAATCGAATAAAATAATAACTACGAAAGACGGGAAAATAAACAAACAATTTAAAGCTCTCACCTTCAGTATTCTAAAACTCCAAAAGAAAGAAAAAAGTCAAGAACCCAGATAGATAACAAAGCTAGCAACAAACCCAAGTTCTCAAAACGAAACCTTGACTGAAGGAAAATAAACGAGGGCGGGGGGGTGAAAAGAAAAGGAGAAAAAGGCTCTGCTTTGCTTTCTTCTGTTTGTGGTTTAAAAGGGGAACAGGGTAGAGATTCCAAAGGAGACCAGAAATGGAACTTAGTTTTTTAGAGCATCATTCACGCAAGTCTTGTACTGGAATTGAGACAGAGGAGGCCTTGCCTTCTTCTCTCTGTGACAGCAGCACGCTCACCGAAGCAAGATTTGGCAAGCAGACAGAGATGTTCGCGTTTGCGTCTATCTCTGCCCTGTTCTCTCTCTTTAAATTGTGAGAGGAGAAAGATACCGGAAAAATTGTAGTATATACTTGGTCGTAGATGGAATACTGTAGCATGTGAGTCCTGTACACCAAACGTGCGGATTGTGTGATGGTTGTTTGTAGATGGGGGACCTCAGAGAACCAATTAAAGCCTCATCAGGCCCAATAGGTGGGGAAAAAACACCATCGAGCGTTCTTTATTAATAAATTTCTTTTTAAAAATAACACGTATTGAGTGTCTTTACTAGTGGACTTCAAATCATTAACATTCCTATCTAAAAAAAATTGGTTTTGTGGCGTGAGTCTAGATTTAGACGGAGGGTGTTAATTCTGATGAGCTATATTTTTAGGGAGTGTTTGGCAATCTATTAAAAAATGGGTTAGGAGGAGTCATGATCCGTTTTTTATCTTAAACTGGCTTTAGTTTGGACCATGGGAGTAGTAGTCAAAACTAAAATCAGTTTTAAAGGGCATTTTTAACGTATAAAAATCGGATTAGTTTTGGCTTGATTTTTTACCAAACAAAAAAAATACTCAAAACTAGGTCGGGTCCAGTCTTGACCCGGTTTTAAAGATTTGTCAAACACATACATAGAGCGTAAAACTATAAGTGCAATGCTCACTATAGATTCGGAGTCCTCGTGTAGAGGCAAGGACATCTAGTCAATTTCAATAGAAAGAACCAGCAGGATTTGAAAGACTAGATAGAATTTTCCATGATTTCGGGAACTTACTTTGAAATAATGAAGAATTAAGGGACTAAGATCGAAAAAGCCTTATTTACTGCTGATCTTAAATCAACATGAATAATATTCAAAAACCAAGGTAAGTGTAAATAGTGTAAGAATCAGTGCAATCATCAAACTGTAGGATTAATAGCGCCACACGTGTGCCTTTCTCTTTCCTTCCCGTGTGATTTTCTATTTTTCTCATCCTTTGTTGGTGCCCTATTGGTTTGAGGTCCAATCTTTTAAAGTTGCGTTATGATTTGATCTGCCTCAGGAAAAGTGGTTTTAGAGAATGTTTAGGGTTCATTGAATCATGATTTCTTCGAACTTTTGAGAGGTCCGCTTGTACAAGGTGGTGGTCGTTGATGAGTATATTGGGTTTGGGTCACATGTGGATCACGGGTGGGTACGGATAGTTCTAAATCAAACCCGAAACCAAAAAGTCATGCAACTTGAATGGGACCCGAGCATACCGTCTAATCGTTGTAGGAACGTGATTTTGGATCACGTTACCTTAAAGACATACAATGAAGAGACCGATACTAACCACTAGGCTAATTTCCCATCTTTACTTTAGCATTTTGTACGTATTACACATTTCTGGCAATCTCATATTTATTGTGGGATATATGATGCAAGTCTAGACCATGGTGAATAGGGTTACTATCTTTTTTCACTAAAAACACAGAATATACAACTAATAAATAAAATAAAAGTGAACTGTGATAATTAACCATAAATAACAATCAACTAAGTACATGCTGTAGAAACGACGAAAACTGGGTTGAAGTTCAAAAAATTTGACGAAGGCAACATTTTGAAGGTTTCTCGGTCGACCGCGACCAAGGGTGCGGTCGACCGAGAACGTGCACGCTACAGGATGGTTTTCTAGAGTTCTGGTCGGTCGACCGTGAGGTTAGTTCCGGTCGACCGTGGACCCTATAATAAACTTTTGGTTTATGTCGTCCTGTCCGGTCGACCGCGATGGTTTCGGCGGGCGACCGCGAGTCGGGTTTGGACCTGATTCTGGTTTCCTGTTCTGATTGGGTTTGTGTTTTGATATATATTAAAACACGTTTTTTAGGTTTAGTAAGGTTAAAAAGGGGTTATTTGGTGCACAAGAAAAGAGAGTTTTCTCAGCAATTCGTTTGGGATTTGTGTGAGAGATTTGATAGCTTTGTTTGAGAGATTTTGAGTGATTCTGTAATCTTTATTTGTACTCTCTTCTCTATTAGTAAAAACTCATCCTCTTCTTGCCCCGTGGACGTAGTTAACTTGCTGAACCACATAAAATTCGTTGTTTGTGTTCGTGATGTTAATTTTATGTTTGTGTGACCTTCTCTCTCGGCAACTTCGTGTTTCCTCAGACCCCAAAGAGAGACTTTAGAGCCCAACAAGTGGTATCAAAGCACCAAACTACGCTTGAGTTAAGTGAAGGAGTAGAACATTTTGGAAGCTCGTCTAGGGTTTTAATTGGAGACAAATGTAGGTTTTTTACTATTGTGGATCTTGTCTTCCGTCGTGTGAGGGTAAGATCTTTTGGAGACTCTTGTTAGGATTTTAATTAGAGGTAAAAATCTACCTTTCTCGAAGTTTGGATCTATTTTTTAGTTTGTTCTGCATTGGTTTGTTGGTGTTTTGAGAAAGATGTCTGAGAAAGAAGGTGTTAAGAGTGATACTTCTGGCATGAAGACCATTCAAAGTTTGAATATACACTCTATGAAGATAGATGTGGAGAATTTTAATGGCACGAACAACATTGGCTTATGGAGATGTAAAGTTTTGGATGCGCTGAACGCGTAAAATTTAGAAGATACTTTGAAGTTGGACGGCAAGTCAGACGATATTAAAGAAAATGTTTGGAAGAAGATGAATCGGACGACTTGTGGCATGATTAGGTCTTGTTTAATGCAGGATCTAAAATATGATGTGATCAATGAGACTTCTGCAAAGAAAATTTGGGAGATTCTTGAAGGCAAGTATTTAACGAAGAGTGTTGAGAACCGCTTGTATTTGAAAAGGAGACTTTACCGTTTCCAGTTGAATAAGGAAATCTCAATTAGTGATCACATGAACAACTACACGAAGCTTCTTACAGATTTGGCGAATGTGGATGTCATGATCAAGGATGAGGACAATGCATTGTTGTTGTTGAGTTCCTTATCTGATGAGGAATATAAGACCTTCGTTCTTACTCTAATTAATAGAAAGACATCTCTTTTGTATAGTGAGATTATCGCTGCTCTTGTGAATTATCAGCTAAGCAAGAAGGACAATGAGTCTTCAAATGATACAATAGCAGAGGCAATGACCATAAGAGGGAAAAGTCCAAACCGAAATAGGAGGTCGCAGTCTAAAGGAGCACATCCTTCATTTGGTAAAAATCAATGTGTTTTTTACAAAAAAGATGGACATTGGAAGTCTGAATGCCTAAGTTAAAGGATAGAGACGGGAAGAATAAGGGGAAAGCCGTACAATCTTCAGATGTGAATGTTACCAAAGTTAATAGTGATAATTTAGATTTGGATTCTTCGGGCTACTCATGTCCAACATTACCGTTAGTTTGTTATGGTGACTCTACGAAGTGGATGTTAGATTCGGATGCTACATACCATATTTGCCCTAGGAGTGATTGGTTTTCCAGCTTTGGGGAGTTAGAAAGAGGGAATGTTGTGCGCGTGGGTAATGATCATGTATGCTCTATCGATGGTATTCGAACAGTTCGGATCAGGATGTGTGACGAGGTGACTAGGGAGCTGAAGAAAATGAGATTCTTTCCGCAGTAGACAAAGAACATTATTTTACTTAGAACTTTGGAGGCAGCAGACTATAGGGTTATCTTAGAGAATACAATTCTGAAGGTCACAAAGAGGTCCATGATTGTGATAAAGGGCATTAGGAAGAATAACTTATACTACTTGACTAGAAGTACAATGACAGGTGGAGCGCTGGCGACTTCTATTGATTCGACTAGACTGTGACGTTTGAGGCTGAGACATTCTAGTGTTGGTTCCTTACAAGCTTCAAATATGCAATGTTTGGTGAGAAGTGCTTTGGCTTGCAATTTGAAGTCCTATGAGCATAGTGATGTGAGCAAGAAGACCAAGATGAAATTTGGTATCTCTATTCATCGAGCTAAGGGACTTTCTAGATAAAGTTTGATAATAGGTATTTGATTTCCTTTATTGATGACTGTTCTAGACATGTTTGGGTTGCAACCAAGTCCCGTTTGAGTAAAGTCTAGGTAGTCAACAACTGGTGGAAGAAGTGTATAGAAACCAAAACAGACAGAAAGGACAGAGTACTCTGCTTTGATTTTGGTGGGAAGTACAAGAGTGATCCATTTCTGCATTTATGCCGAGCTCAAGGTAGTTTGAGACGCTTTATTGGAAAGGAAACATTTGGGCAACGAGATGATGTGGCAAATTTGATGAGTTGTTCCTTGCTGGAGAAGGATCAGTGTTTGGTGTCAAGCAGTAGTTTGAAGAAGAGTTATGGTACTGAGGCTTTGACATATTCAAACCATCTTATTCATAGGTTATCGTCTACTGTGATTGGAATATTTGGGTCTGTTAGAGCTGCTTCAGATTTTGGTTTGCTTCGGATATTTGGGTTTTCAGCATATTATCACATCAAGGATGTGAAAATTGATCCGAGAGCATATTTGGAATTCGGAGGCGTGTTTGGCTACATGTTATGGGACTCTATTTTCAAGAAGATTGTTCTTAGCAGTAATGTCACATTTGACTCTCAGCAGGTTGAGAGTATTGGTCAGATCAGAGATATATCGCAGCAGGTGGAGAGTGATGCTACTTCACGTTGGGTGGAGATTACTCCATGTTCTCCAGATCATTCTATATCATTTTGGGATTCTAGCTGAGGTGACACAGATTAGAGATCATGTTGGTGTGGATACATATGATGAGTTTGAAGATCAAGATTTGAGTGCAGCAGGTGGACACAATTCAAATTTGGCTATGGTCGTTGGCTCACCTCGGGTGGAGGTGTTTGGTAATTGTGTTTCTTCTATATATATATAGGGTTGAGGGGTTAATCTCCAAGACAGATTTCGTGTGGAGAGATGCAAGTTTGGAAGAGAGTTTATCTTTTAACTTTGCGGCCATTAGGAGTGTTATCAGCTGCAGATTTGTTGGTGATGATCGTGAAGTTGGCGAAGGGTTAAAAATCCTTCTAGTTGATTGAGATCTTTGGAGGCCATTTAGGTGAACTACGTGAGGCTTAATTCCTTAGGCAAGAGGATATGTAGGTAGTCATTTTGATGCAGCCAGTTTGATGAGTTGGTACCGATATTTTGGAGTTTTTGCATTCTCATTTGGGTTCTCGACTTGTTATGGATTGAGTCAGTTGTCGTAGATTGTTTCCACTTCGTACTG